GGGCAACTTTGAGGCAGCAATTTATACAAAAACAACGAATATGTATTTATTTAATATACATTGCAAGGGCTCAAGCAGACTTAATTTAAAAAAAAAAAAAACAAGAAACAAAAAAAACGAATAAAACAAAAATAACAGCACAGCTTAGAAATCAAGGAAAGGACAGACCACTTAAGGAAAAAGACGACACACGAGAGAAGCTGGACATCTTGCGTCAGGGATCTTGACTGGAGACCTGCTTTGAATACGTTTCTTGCAGGTACTTCTTAAATGCTGGAAGAGAACAACATGCAGGTAGGTCTCAGGTGAGTGTGGGATGGGGAGGTCGGCAGGGCCAGTTCTACTTATTTCCAGAGTTCAGGAAAGGTACAGGAGACAGCTTCTCTGTGTAGCCCTGGTTGTCCTGGAGGAACTCTCTTTGCAGACCAGGCTGGCCTTGAATTGAACTCAGAGACCTGCCTGCATCTGTGTGTACACCCACCACACCCCCACACACCTCTCCCCTGGGTCAGGAGATACTCCTATCCAAAGATCCCTTAATCTATCAGAGTTTGGAGGAAGCAGCAGGGTGGATGCAGAAGGAGCCCAACCCGGTCTGTAGGGCCCCTTTGAAGGCTGGAGAAGGACCTACCTGTGGGGTTTTTCCAGAGCTCAGCAGCATGTGTGTTCAAAGGGCTATCGATGTTGGGTTCTGTGGAAGGATTCAGAACAGTCAGAGGGATAAAGAAGGTTGATTCAGGGGAGCCCTAGCAAACTGGTGGTCTCAGAAGTTACCTCCTAGCAGGCTCTGGATAGAGAGCAAAATGGTTCTGACGTCATAGAGTGCGGACCACTTGTCCTTGAGGATGTCCAGGCAGATGTTACCCTGGGTGTCTACATTGGGGTGGTAGCAGGGCGTGAGGAACTTGACTGTGGGTGCATTGTACGGGTAGCCGCTGGGGAACTCCAGTGAGAGCTTATACCTCAGGTCTTCATATACCTGGCATTTGGGGAAAGAAGGGCAGTGTAAGTCCCTTGCTCACCTTGTGGGACCTCCCCCAACCCATCCCTCCAGCCCCACATTCCATCCAAGTCCTAAATAGGGCCATGGAGGCAGTAACTTGAGTCTGAATCTGGCCAGCAGACAATGTGTTAAGTTGGTCCCTGGTGCTTCCTTCCTATCTGGGGGATATCAGTGACCTTCCCGTCAAAAGACTGAGACACGGCATCCTGAGGGCTACCAGAGTGGCGGATTAGTATCTTAGTCAAGAAAGTGAAAATTCAGATTTGGCTCAGATCCAACTTCTGACTTAAAACCCGATCTGCAGCAATGGAAGCACTTGTACCTTCCCACTAGCCAAGACCTGCCTCCAGCCTTGTCTGTGGTCTACAGAGGGCGCTGCCTCAGGGGCCCCTTTCCATCCAACTCAAAGAACATGGGCACAGGCACAGGGAACTGAAGCCAGCCTAGTCCTTGGAGTTCATCTCCTCTGCCACACTCAGCAAAGTGACACCCACTCCCACACCACACTTACTGTGCCGGCTGCTCCATGGATGGTCCCTACCCATTTGAACAGGTTGTCTGATTCAGGGAAGGCGGAAATCCCTTTGTCACCAGACATCTGGGGGGAAGAAAACACTTTCAGCCACAGCAAAAGGGACCACTGGGTGAGCACCTGCCCTCGTACTATAGTCAGGCCCTAAACAGAGCAGCTACAGAACCAAATCACAGGTTGATCACCAGGCTAGGAGGAAGGGGTGGAACAGGGAAGTACACGGAATTCAAATATTTAATAAGGCATTAGAACATGTGGATTAATATTTAGAGTAAGGTAGCAAAGGACCACCAGAAGTGAGAATTCCAAGGTCTGATGAGACTAGAAATTCTGAGAAGGGTGGGATGGGTGAGGTTAGAGCTGAGGCCCAAAGTAGGTAGGGATGAGCCCAGATAAGCCTCCTACGGGGGAAGGCAGCTGCTGTGATCAAGTGAGGGTGGGTGTCTAAAGGATTTCCCATAAGAGAGTAAGTTACACCCATGGGATTAGCAAGGAGCCTGAAGTAGGAAAGAAGGCTACTGATAATTGGGTGGGGGATGGGAGGGTGGGCCAATTGGTCTTAGAA